CTGTTTGAGCCACCCAGTCTGCAATATCTTGTTATGGCAGCCCTAGCAAACTCACAGAGCTAGTGTAAGCACTTTACATGTATAATTTCATCAATTGCAGTGGGAGCATTCTTTTCTTTTTTTTTCTTTTATTTTTTGTTATACTTTAAATTCTGGGATACATGTGCAGAATGTGCCGGTTTGTTACATAGGTATACACGTGCCATGGTGGTTTGCTGCACCCATCAACCCATCATCTAGTAAATCTAGGGCAGATGTCTTGACTCCTTTTTCCCCTGTCAAATAAGGAAAGTTCTCTTATAACTTTTAATCACAACCCATCATCCAACCAGGACCTCCAGGTTGCCTAAAGCTATTCATTATCATTAATGATAATGAAATACCCATTATCATTAGGTATTTCTCCTAATGCTATCCCTCCTGACAGGCTCTGGTGTGTGATGTTCCCCTTCCTGTGTCCATGTGTTCTCATTGTTCAGCTCCCACTTATGAGTGAGAACATACAGTGTTTGGTTTTCCGTTCCTGTGTTAGTTTGCTTAGAATGATGGTTTCCAGCTTCATCTATGTCCCTGCAAAGGACATGAACTCGTCCTTTTCTATGGCTGCATAGTATTCCATGGTACATATGTACCACGTTTTCTTTATCCAGTCTATCATTGATGTGCATTTGGGTTGGTTTCAAGTCTTTGCTATTGTGAACAGTGCTGTAATAAACATACGTGTGCATGTGTCTTTATAGTAGAATGATTTATAATCCTTTGGGTATATACCCAGTAATGGGATTGCTGAGTCAAATGCTATTTCTAGTTCTAGATCCTTGAGGAATTGCCACACTGTCTTCCACAATGGTTGAACTAATTTACACTTCCAACAGTGTAAAAGCATTCCTATTTCTCCACATCCTCTCCAGCATCTGTTGTTTCCTGACTTTTTAATGATTGCCATTCTAACTGGCATGAGATGAAATCTCATAGTGGTTTTGATTTGCATTTCTCTAATGACCAGTGATGATGATGAACTTTTTTTCATATGTTTGTTGGCTGCATAAATGTCTTCTTTTGAGAAGTGTCTGTTCATATCCTTTGCCCACTTTTTGATGGGGTTGTTTGTTTTTTTCTTATAAATTTGTTTAAGTTCCTTGTAAATTCTGGATATTAAACCGTTGTCAGATGGGTAGATTGCAAAAATTTTCTCCCATTCTGTAGGTTGCCTGTTCTCTCTGATGATAGTTTCTTTTGCTGTGCAGAAGCTCTTTAGTTTAATTAGATCCCATTTGTCAATTTTGGCTTTTGTTGCCATTACTTTTGGTGTTTTAGTCATGAAGTCTTTGCCCATGCCTATGGCCTGAATGGTATTGCCTAGGTTTTCTTCTAGGGTTTTTATGGTTCTAGGGCTTACATTTAAGTCTTTAATCCATCTTGAGTTAATTTTTGTATAAGGCGTAACGGTACGAGTCCAGTTTCAGTTTTCTGCATATGGCTAGCCAGTTTTCCCAGCCCCATTTATCAAATAGGGAATTCTTTCCCCATTGCTTGTTTCTATCAGGTTTTTCAAAGATAAAAATATGAAATGCTTCACGAATTTGCGTGTCATCCTTGTGCAGGGGCCATGCTAATCTTCTCTGTATCATTCCAATTTTAGCATATGTGCTGCCAAAGCGAGCACGGGAGCATTATTTTCAGTGTAGAGTGGTTACAGTTTTGAACTGACTTCTTGGTTTGGTTCCTGGCTTCACCATGTATAGCTTGGACATCAAATGCAGATGATGACGGTAGTGGAGGTGGGGTTGGGAGTGGCGTGTGATTGGTAGGGAGAGTTACTTAGAACTGAGGCAGGAGGCTGGGCGCAGTGGCTCACGCCTGTAATCCCAGCACTTTGGGAGGCTGAGGCAGGTGGATCACCTGAGGTCGGGAGTTCGAGACCAGCCTGACCAACATGGAGAAGCCCCATCTCTACTAAAAATACAAAATTAGCTGGGCTTGGTGGCACATGCCTATAATCCCAGCTACTAGGGAGGCTGAGGCAGGAGAATTGCTTGAACCTGGGAGGCGGAGGTTGCGGTGAGCCGAGATCGTGCCATTGCACTCCAGCCTGGGCAACAAAAGTGAAATTCTGCCTCAAAAAAAAAAAAAAAAAAAAAAAAAAGAACTGAGGCAGGATTAAGCCATACACTGTCTAAAGTGCATGCCCTGGACTTGGTCTCTGAATGACATCCATGAGCCCCGTCATCCCTGGGAAACTTCTTTACTGGTTTTACCTGGATCCTGACCCAGATCTCTCTATAATTTGCCACTGAAGTGGTTTTTTTTTTTTTCTTTTTCTTTTTTCTCAGTAGCACCTGCCTGTGATGGCTGTGCATTGGTAAGTCCTAAACTTAGCCTGCATGCTCTGCTCTGCCGTCCTTAGCCCTCTGTCCCCTTCCCCAGCTGCCATGACCAACTTCCCTGTGCATAACAAGGTGTTAGTCATCAACTGGGTGCTGGGGTGAGGGAGGAAGAGTCAAATGGGATTGAACAGTGTTGAGTCGATGTGAGCAAAAGAGACACCACTAATGGAGGAAAAATGATATGTAAGATGATATTACACATGGCTTTTTAAAGCATAGGGGACTGGTGGTCAGTAAAGAACTGAATGCAGTCAGAATAAGAAGATCGAGTAACTTCATTGACTTTTAAAAAATACATACATTTTTAATAGTGTTCTTCATTTAAAAGTAACATTTATTTTAAGCAATTGAGAAAATTTCTCTCAGAGAAGTGAAAAGAGAGAGAAAAAGTTTACACATATTCTGATCACAGAATAACTGGCGCACTGAGCAAGTGGAAATCCCCAAAGTGTAAACAAACAACCTTCGAACTATTTTTCAAACTGTTGTTCAAGTTGACTCAAACCTGCTCTCTGCCTGGTACTGTTTTGTTCCTTTGGTAAATCTAGGGCAGACGTCTTGACTCCTTTTTTCTCCATCAAATGAGGAAAGTTCTCTTATAACTTTTAATCACAAAACAAACTCTGCCAGTGATTTAATTAATTAATTAATTTGTTTATTAAGATGGAGTCTCACTCACTCTGTCATGCAGGCTGGAGTGCAGTGGTGAGATCATGGCTCACTTCAACCTCCACCTCCCTGTTCAAGTGATTCTCCTGCCTCAGCCTCCTAAGTAGCTGGGACTACAGGTGCCTGCCACCACACCTGGCTAGTTTTTGTATTTTTAGTAGAGATGGGTTTTCACCATGTAGGCCAGGTTGGTGTCAAACTCCTGATCTCAAGTGATCTGCCTGCCTTGGCCTCCCAAAATGCCGGGATTACAGGTGTGAACCACCGCATCTGGCCTCTGTCAGTGATTAAAATGTCCATTCTGTGTAGAAGCAAAATTCAAGATTTAAAATTTCTCTGTAATAAAGACTGACAACTGTCCATCAAAATCCATTTTCCCTTATAATAAAAGTTCTAATCTCATGGCTGGCCAGCAGACTCCATTTCCCAGTCTCCCTTGCAGTTAGAAGTGGCCATGTGAGGTCTAACCAATGGAATGTGAACAGAGGGATAGGTTTCATTTCCAGGCCTATCCCTGAAACACTTCCCATGTGTGCTTCTTGATATTATCTCCTCTTTCTGGTTGGCTGAGATGGGAGTGATCCACCTCTCTCTATAATTTGCCACTGAAGTGTTTTTGTTTCTCAGTAGCACCTGCCTGTGATGGCTGTGTGTTAAGTCCTCAACGTAGCCTGCGTGTGGGAGCTGTCTCTTAAAGATCATCAGCCTGGTACCCTAACTCTGTGGATGAAGCAAAGCCCACTGCCTTCCCTACTACCCTAAACTGGCACCTTCCTGTACTGTTACATGAGCAAGAAACAGACTTGTACTGTATTGAGTCACTGCATGTTTGGGACTGTTTGTTACTGCAGCTTCTCACACTTTAACTGATGCGTTCTCCATCTGTGGTCTGTGTCAGGTTAAAAGCCTGCATTGGGAAAAGGAGGCATAATGAGCTCTCTACTATCCTCCTTGGTACCTCCTCATCCCATCCTTAATCCTATTGACTTACTAACTGCAGTTTCTGAACTCTGTAGGGTTGGTTGGAGCATAGAAGAAGCGGGAGAGGCAGGAAAGAGCTTACTTGGCTGGGACTGTCATGATCTTGCTGTTTTGGTGCCATTGTTTTGGTAGGCATTCAAAGTTGACCCTTTTTCTTGTGGGTTGCTTTTGTGAGGTGCGCTAGATATCTTTATTTGTCTCTCCAGAGCCAACCTCTCATCCTCCTTCACCCCGCTTTGTTTCCAGGGCTGGTGCATATAGAATGTATCAAAGGGCTCCCTTACCTTTCAGTGTCTGCTTGAGTTTGGTGAGGGGGAGTCCCTGGCAAGAGTCTGGAGAGAGTCAGGGGAGAGATGCTGGGGTAGTTATTCCTCTGGTTCCTTCCCTGTGGGGTCGACATTGTCTGGCTGCATCTCTCCATTGAAGGTTGCAGCTCCCAGCAGTTTCTCTGCAGACACCCACCTGGACCTGGGCTCCCGGTTCTGCCCTATTAGGATGCTAAGGCTGTTATTAGCTTCAGAACACTGTACTATTCCCCCAGGGTCTTCTGTCCTGCTCACAGCTTCATACATAATCTTTTTATTAATCTCTCCCTGAATGATCTAATTTGAGTGCCACCTATTCTGCTATGCCCCTAATACAGTGGGTTTTTTGAGATGCCCTCACCTGAAACATCCAACAGTGTGCACTTCTGGTGATGTGGGTGATGCATCTGCTATGCTGCTGCTTATAATTTGTCCCTCGGCTCCTGAGCATTCTGTGATCTGTCCTTTCCAATTGCTTCAGAGAAATGGGGGCTCAGAGATGTTCTGTGACTTGCCCAGGGCCCCAGAGTTAGTGGGTGGTTGAGCTGGTGCTCTTCTCCCTGCCTTGTGCCATCTGCATTACCAATCACTTTCCCAAAAACAGTTCTGCCAGGCTGTACTCCCACCAGCTAAAAAGTGAAATAATCCTATTTTTCAGCCTGACTCGAGTGCTACATGGATAAAAGAGTGAGGTGATGGAGCTGGCCTTGGGCAAGCTCATTCTTCCGGCATGTGGACAAATGCCTGACAAGATGATTATATCAGGAAGTTACAAGAAGGAGATGGAACAAGCAGTTTAGGCCTGGATTCTGCTGTGCTCTCGCCAGATGGGATAGCCAGGGACTCAGTGAGAGGAGGTGCCAGAAAGGGGCCCTCTGAGCAGGTAGGTGTGGCCAGCAGGTAGGTGTGGCCAACTGGCCATGTTTGCAAACACTTCAACTTGAGTGGAGGCTGCATCTGCCACCACCACCTCCTCCCCAGCCCTAAAAACATCGTATACTACTTGGGCATCTCTTGGCAAAGACAGCATTGACTCACAGCAGAGGCAATGTGGGATGTGGCCATTGCTCTCTTGCCTGACGCCCCCCAGAGAGCAAAGCTCTTGCCAGCCCCTCAGCCTGGGTTTTCCCCAAAGCAAATCCAAGTGGATCCAACTGAGGCAATTGCAGGCATCAGGAGTTGCTCCCCCGGGGGGCCTTCTTTGACCCCACCCATGGGCTGGGTACTGCTCCTAGATGATTTCACGAGGCCCTGTTCTTATAACCTCTCTTATTTCTTTTATTTATTTACTTATTTTGTGAGATAGGATCTTACTATGTTGCCTAGGCTGGAGTGCAGTGGTAAAATCACAGCTCACTGCAGCCTCAACCTCCCAGGGCTCAGGTGATCCTCCAGCCACAGCCTTCTGAGTAGGTGGCACTACAGACATGCACCACCTTGCCCAGCTAATTTTTTTGTGCTTTTTGTAGAGCTGGGGTTTCGCCATGTTGGCCAGGCTGGTCTCAAACTCCTGGGCTCAAGTGATCCGCCCACCTTGGCCCTGCAAAGTGTTGGGATTACTGGTGTGAGCCACTGAGCCCGGCCATCCTTTATTATTTCAACAAATGTTTATTGAACACTGACTACTGTTGACCTTTCATATCTGTGGATTCTGCATTTGCAGATTCAACCAACCTTGGATTTAAAATATTTGGAAAAAATACAAATAAAAAATACAGTATAACAACTATTTACATAGCATTTACATGATATTAGGCATAATAAATAATCTAAAGATGATTTAAAGTGTAAGGGAGGATGTGCATAGGTTATATGCAAATATTACATCATTTTTTGTGAGGGACTTGTGCATCCTTGGATTTTGGCATCTGTAGGGGATCCTGGAACCCATCCCTCTGGATACTGAACGGTGACTGTATGTGCCTAGGCCTATGTTAGAGCCTCGTTCTAAAATTTAGATTCTCTTGTGAGTAACCCTTGTTACCACTGTTTTGTAATTATTTCTTTACCCCAGGAGACACCAGGTAAATCACTGACTTTAAAAATTTAAATATTCTTATTTTTAGCTTGGCTAGAATGCTGCGTGAATTTTGGGAGGCTATGTCTTTTTGTTATTTTAAAAATATTTTATTAAAAAATCTTGGTAGCCTAGTGCCTTGTGCGTTACCTACAAACAGAAGATACTCCATCCATGTTTACTAAGTTAATGAATGGATGTGGCATTGGGTATCGGCTATTGAATAAGCTAGGGCTTGGGGATTCCTTGGCAGGTTTTTTTTTTTTTTTTTTTTTTTCTTTCTGTCAGGGGAGGAAAGCAAGTCTGTCAAGTGCTGCTCAGCGAGATACCCAAGGCCATGGGCAGAGCTGAGCGGAGCTCAGAGTTCCTGGAGTGTCCAAACCTCTCTCCTTTGCGCTTCTTGCAGCTCCTGTACCTCTTTCCCTGGGGCGGCCAGTATGAATGCATGGGGCACGTGTGGGGACTCTGCTTCTGAGTTCAGATACTGGGGGCCATCACCATTATCTCTGAATGTTCCGGATGAGAACACTGAGATCCAGAGCTGCCGCCCCTCAAGGCCTCTAGGCAGAGAGGTGGAGTGGAGGCTAAGTCCATTACCCTTCAGCCACCCGGCACTGCTATGCCAATGGGTTTACCATTTCAGTGCCTCCTCACTGGTCTAAGTGACAGACGCTGACATTCACACATTCTCAGCCAGGGTGGGTGGCACCGTGCCATGGATGGCACCAAATTGGGTGTTGAGGAAGTACTGCTGTGTCCCTTCCCCCCGGCCCTCCCAGCTCATTGGCCCCAGTTGTGCATGTAGCAGGGCCTCAGTAAACAGGTATGGGAATGAGCAGTGTAATCTGCCTCAGGAATCTTAGAAAAACACGAAACAGCCTTACCAACAGTACTTGGTCTAACACTTCATAGCCCTCTAAGTGGTTTCACTGTGTTATCTTGTTTCATGTACCTGCTGTCGTTTGAAATTGTTTCAGGGTATAAGCATATAATTAAAATATCAATTAAGCCACGTTCTGAAATACATCAGGCTATGTGTGAGCATGAATTAGGAAAAAGTCAAATGACAATTCATCAATCTAGGACTCATTCCCCAGGTACAATTCACAACCCACCTCTTCTGCATCCCAGTTTTGCTCCAGGTATGTTACAGTCCTCACTGCACTGTGCCTTACTAATTGTTCCTCATGTTGCGCTCTCGTCTCCTCCCTCGGGAATTCTCCCTCCTTTTTCTGTATGTAAAAGAAAATCTTCCTTAATCTTCAAAGCTCTGGTCCTGGAGCTCCAATTTTGTTTGTGTTTTTGTAACACCTTTTCCCCCCATCCATTCTTGCAGACTTTGCTATTGCGCTTGGATGCTGCCGCAGGCCTGCATTGTATCACTCCTTACATTGTATTGTAATGATTCCCTTCCCTTGATTCCCTTCCCTTCCCCTCCCTTCCCCTCCTCCCTCCCCTCCTCCCCTCCCCTCCCCTCCCTCCCCCTCCCCTCCTCCCTCCCTCCTCCCCTCCTCCCTCCCTTCCCTCCTCCTCCTTCCCCTCCCCTTCCCCTCCCCTCCCTCCCCTCCCTCCCCCTCCTCCCTCCCCTCCCCTCCCCTCCCCCTCCTCCTCTCCCCCTCCCTTCCTCCCCTCCCCTGCCTTCCCCTCCTCCCTCCCCTCCCCTTCCCCTCCTCCCTTCCCTCCTTCCCTTCCCTTCCCCTTTTTCATTTTTGAGACAGAGTCTCACTCTGTTGCCCAAGCTGGAGTGTAGTGGTGCAATCTTGGCACACTGCAACTTCCGCCTCCTGGGTTCCAGTGATTCTCCTTCCGCAGCCTGCCAAGTAGCTGGCATTACAGGCATCCACCACTATGCCCGGCTAATTTTTTATTTTTAGTGGAGATGGGGTTTTGCCCTGTTGGCCAGGTTGGTCTCAAACTCCTGACCTCAAGTGATCCACCCACCTTGGCCTCCCAAAGTGCTGGAATTACAGGCCTGAGCCACTATGCTCTGCCTGTAATGACTAATTTTGTTCTATCACATCAGACTGATCACTTTGAGGGTAGGGCTATTTTATTACCCCTAGTGCCTGGGACCCTGTAGGCATTGAATGCATATCTGTTAGATGAAAAAAGAGATGTTCCTGGGGCACTTGGTGGCCTGGTCAAGTCCTTGGCTGATTGGCATTTGTTAACCTTGCTGTTCCCCTCATCCCTCAGCCCAGTGCCCAACAGAGCAGGCTTCCTGGTAGTAAGGCCAGCACTGGGCATATAGCCCTGTTTCTGCACAAAGCTGCTTGCCAGGTAAAGAATAAATCTCAAATGTTACAACCTGTGTGCTTTATTTTTTAATCATTAAAAAAGCCCCAAGACTATAAAACAGAAAACCCCCACAAACCCCATAAAAATCCATTCTCTTGGCAAACAATATCCCCAGCAAGGATTATGGAAGATTTGGCTTCTCTGAATGCACCTGGCAGTGTATTCTATATTGCATTCTCCAAAAAACAATTGCCTCTACAGACAGTAGATAAGACACGTGAGTGTGTGTGTGTGTGTGGGAGTGTGTGTGTGTAAGTGCACATGTGTAAGTGCATGTGTAAGTGCACACACATGCACTGAGGACATGGTGTGGTTGAAAGGGTATGGATTTCAAAAGGCAGGCAGACCGAGGTTCAAGTCTAGCTAGCTGGACTGTCACCAACAGTATGACCTAGGGCATTCTGTAAAATGGGACTAACAAGACCTATATTGGGAGGTTGTGTGAGGATCCAAAGGGAGCCACAGCACCACCAGAGTTCCTGACACTCAAATGCTCTCCCCAAAGGGCAGAGTGAAGGCTGAGGATGCCCTTCAGTTTCTGGGAAGTTTTATCTCCCGGAGCCTTATATGCATGATCCTTGTCCTATTTTTTGTGGAATTTGACAGTACTGCCTGTTGTTCTTTATTTTTTTTCTCTTTTCTCTCTGTTCCCCCCCAACCCTGCTTTTTTTTTTTTTTGAGATGGAGTCTCACTCTTTTGGCCAGGCTGGAGTGCAGTGGCACGATCTCAGCTCACTGCAACCTCCACCTCCCAGGTTCAAGCGATTCTTGTGCTTTAGCCTCCCGAGTAGCTGGGATTATAGGTGTGCACCACCATGCCTGGCTAATTTTTATATTTTTTAGTAGGGATGGGGTTTCATCATGTCGGCTAGGCTGGCCCACCTTGGCCTCCCAAAGTTCTGGGATTACAGGGGTGAATCATCGTGCCTGGCCATTGTTCTTTGTTGTTATTGTTCCTAATGAGACTGGAACCACCTCAAGGGTGGGGCCATGTCCAGCACTTCTTTCTATCTTGCAGAGGAGAAGTTCACCAGATGGATTGGCCAGATGGGTCCTGGATCCATTGGGAAGATGCCTGGGAAAATCTGAATTTTCTTGGGGGACTTCTTTGCTTCTAGTTCTCCACCACCAGGCTGGGAGAGGGTCCTGACACCAAAAGTTCATTTCAGAATCTGCCTTTCAGCCCTTCCTCCTGGTCAAAGGTGTGAGTATGGCTGGCATGATGGGATGGAAAGAACACGGGCTTCTCAATCCCCAGTCTAGCACTAGTAAGCTGTGGGAGTTGCAATCCTCTCAGACCTCCATTTCCTATTCATAAAAGTGGGAACAGTGGGACTGCTTCTAGGGCTCAGTGACAGGGCACGGCACCATCTAGCACATTAAAGTGCTCAGTTTTTCTTGCTAATGCTGTAAGGAGATTTAAAATATAAATGCATTCCTGGACTCCAGTGTTGCCCCCTTGAATAGAAACTATTGGAGATTGGGTTCTGAGAATGTGAATTTTTGAGGCACACCCAGTGAGACTCTGAGAAGCAGCTATGTTTGGGAATGACAGCTTTTCCATTCTTCAGTTCCAGATGCTATTCATAATGAGATGCACTACCAATAACACCTTCTCAGGAAAAAAATGTGTCAATTACCCATTAAATTTATACATTTCAACCTCAGGCACATTAAAAATTGCACCCCTGGACTGTGCATTGTCTCAGCTGTGGTCACAGGACTGAAGGAGAAATCCATGTGGTGTGAGGCAATAACCATGACTGTGATTAGACGGCAGCCTCGATGATCACCTGGTATACACCATGCTGGGAGGCCACTGAGACTGCTCTGCATCATCTCCCAGGCCTGGGATGCGGAGTGTCGGAGAATCAGTCCTGTGTCTCTCTTCTTCAGCATCTCTCAGCTGGATGCACAGGGCTGGCTGTCTTTGTGGTTCAGACTTTCAGGAGTCAAGCCAAATTGAGTCAGAGCATGCTCCTCAGTGTCTGCCCCACCACTGACAGGGGTCAGCCTTCAGCTGGGATCTGGCAGACCAGTCTGCACCGAGGGGCTTCCTCATTGCTGTTGGAGCTTCTTTGCTCCTCGCAGAGTTGGGAAGGGTGGGAGGGCCTCTGTCAGAGCTCTCTGCCGCTTTCCCCATGTTAGCTCAGTCCCTGGGACTGTGCTTGTGCCTTGATTTCCCTCCTCGGTTCATTGTATTTGTCAGGATTCAGGCAGGAAAACACAAACCAGGCTTGGTGTATCCGACAGAGGAATTTAACACTGGCTATAGAATGTGTAGATGTTGGAAGGCTGGGATGGCAAGAGGGAGACCGAGAGGTGGCCCAGGGCTTTTGACCTGTAGGAAGCTGCTGCCCCAGCTGGGGGAGCAAAAAGAAGGAGGGTTATCGTTAGGATCTGGGATGCAGAGGAGGAGCAGTGTTGTGGAGGAGGGACTGCTGCAGCTAGAGCTGAGATGATGGAAATGGCACAGCTGCTTGAGAGACATCACCTGGAGAAGAAGGAACGAGAGAAAGAGTGAGAGGAATAGAAGATCAGCACTACTCTCCCAGCATCTTTTATTGAGAGAGCTTGTGAAGAAGTCAGCTGGCAAAGGAGCCAAGTGTGACTGAGCCGTGTGCAGAGAGTGTGCTGGGCCTGGGAGGCAATAGACGAACAATAAGTACATTCAGGCAGTCAGCACATATTTCCTAAGTACCTTTTCTTTTGAGATTGAGTCTCACCCTGTTGCCAGGCTGTAGTGCAGTGGTGCAATCTCGGCTCACTGCAACCTCCACTCCTCAGGTTCAAGTGATTCGCCTGCCTCAACTTCCTGAACAGCTGGGACTACAGGCACACGCCACCATGCCCAGCTAATTTTTGTATTTTTACTGGAGACGGCATTTCACCATGTTGGTCAGGATGGTCTTGATCGCTTGACATTGTGATCTGCCTGCCTCGGCCTTCCAAAGTGTTGGGATTACGGGCGTGAATCACTGTACCCGGCCTACTAAGTACCTTTTAAATGCCAGACACTGTTGTGATGCTGGGGAGTGAGCAGGGAACAAAATAGAAAATTCCCTGCCATCTAGGAGCCAGCATCTTAGTTGGGGAGACAGTCAGCAAACATATAAAAAAAGTAAAATATGTAATCTCTTAAACGGCAGTAAGAGCTACAGAGAAAAATGAATGCAGGAAGGGGGCAGGGAGTGGTGGGGGTGGGTGGGTGGGCAGGAAAGGTCTCACTAAGAACAGTTTAAGCAAAGAGACCTGGATGAAGCCAGGCAATGAGACCTGAGGTGTTCGGGGAAGAGCATAGCAGGCAGAGATACAGCAAGGGCAAAGGCCTTGAGGCCTGCCTTGGTCAAGGAAAAATAAAGAGGCCTGAGCAGAGTGTGCAAGGGGAGAAGCAGTAGGAGATGAGGGCAGGGGGATACAGCTGAGCAGTTTGGGCTCCAGAAATAAAAAAAGGGGGACCCCTTAGGATAGGTGGGCTACCTAAAAAATCTTTATGTAGGTTTTTGTTAGGCCCTGGGCTCCCTCTGACTAATGACCTGGGTGACTTGTACTGACATCCCCTTCCTCCTCTTGTAGGACCATAGAGCGGTCAGAGGATGGGGCTGGAGGACAGACCCTGCAGGGCCATCATGATGGCTTCGGCTTTGATGCTAAGTGAAATGGAAAACCTTCTGCCCTGCTGAGTGCCCGCTATCTCCTCCCCACACCCCAAGTCAGGAGTGCAGCTCTCTGCCTTGACCCCCAGCTCAATTACTGGGATTCTCCTTCCCCTGATCCCAGCAGACACAGATTCTCAACTAGGCTGCAGGCTTCCCCAAAACAAAACCCCTGCCTATTTACATATCACTGCATGTCTAACTGGGGCTTGGCACCCAATAGGGGCTTAGTAAATACCCAGTGAATGAATGAGCAGTTAAGCAGATCCTCAGATCTCACATTGGTCACCAGCTTTGTGACTCAGCTGCTCAATCAAAGTCTCTGTCAGTTGGATGTACGAAATCAGTCCATTAGTTAGTTGGAATCAGCCAAATAATAAAGCAGTTGCTTGACTGAATTTCTAAACTGGCCACATGAAACCTGTGTGGTTACAGTCTCAGTCTCCATGAGAACTTTGGGGCCGCAGTGTTACTGCACAGGTGTGTCCACCCCACTGCTTTCTGGTAATGATGGAGGTTTTTCCCCCCATTTATTAGTGATGAAGGGTTTGTTGGAGATAATTGTATTTTTAGCAGCACAGTTAATGAACTAGCTAAGCATCAATAGATGAAATCATAAAACCATTAAACACCAAGAGCAATAATGGGAAACTGCGTCTGGTGGTAATGAAATTAAGTGTCTTTATGAGGTCACTTTATTACTTTTCTCCTCGGCTCTCTTGCCCTCCCAAGTACGTGGTGACTGCTGCTCCTAATTGCTGTTTCACTAAAATGCACAATGCTCTCCATTTGGCGTTTTAAGTTCAGTGTATTTCTAGGGCCTTCAGGATCATTAAACCCTCCACCAAGAGAATGCAATAGAAGTTGCAGTTATGAAAGTTTCTGGAGGTGGCCCAGTAGTACAGAAGAATGAGGATAGCAGAAAGGGTTGAGAAGGAGTTAAGAAAGACCTGCTGGACTTTACTGAGCCCACACTGTTGAGTCACGTGGTCAAGGTTGAGCCTATGCAACTTTGGCACAGCCTCCAAAGCCAGGGCAAAGTCACTCACAGAGGGACTGGGTGGCTATGGTTATACCTGTGCTTGAACCATACTTTTCAGCTTGGGAGCAAACTCATGTGCATGATTTCCTTTGACCCTGTGACAATCCCGTATGATACGTTTTTATTCTCACTTTTCAGATGAGGAAACTGAGGCTCATAGAATCACCCAGATCCTGCTGCTGTGTAGAGGGCAAAGCTGGTGTGCTTTCCCCATGCCAGAGGCCTTAAGGGTCTGGAGCCAACTCACTTGCTAGTGATTTAAACCTTGTGCAACCAAACTCATGGCACCATACTTAATGCAATAATTCAAGAAATATTCATTGAGTATCTACTGTAGGCTAGGGATACAATGAGCAAAACATGAATCCTTCTCTATCCTCAGGGAACTTAGGTGTAGCTGGGGTGAGTTCCACCAGCAACAACGTGCGGTGAGTTGGGTGACTCAGAGAGAAAGCACCATGTTACGGAAGCTGCTGACAGGAGGCTCCGATCACATCTCTGGGACAGAGAAGCCTTCCTGGAGGAAACAAGGTTTGAGCTGAAACCTGAAGGATAGAAGATAAATAGATGAAGGAGGGGGAGGAGCGCACAGGCCAGGAGGAAGCCTGCACAAAGGCGTGGCTGACACGTAAGAGAGATTGGTGGCTGAGGAACTGGATTGATTTAGGAGGCATCATCAATCGATAAGGCTAAGGAACTGATTCAGTTGTGGGGCTCATGGAGAGACAGGAATTGGGAATCTGCACCCCCTACCCCAACCCTAGTTCCTGGCATGGCCACCTGTGGGATGGCAGTGCATTTACTGAGACAGGGGTGCTGTGGAGGAGCCTAACGGTGGAAGTGAGGTTGGGAGAAGATAATGAATGATTATCTTATCTATGGTGATGAAAATGAGCTCTAAAAGGCAGTTCAGCTGACCCAACTTTGTTATGATCTCAGGGTTGAGAACTGAATTAAAACCCCAGTGTAGACATGGTGTTAATTATTTCATTGAGGCCACCCATTAAGGCTGTAAACACTGAGTTTGTTTCCACCCTACTGAGAAATCGAAAGGACAGAGTGAAGCTTCAACATGATTGTCACCAACTGGAAAAATCAGGCTAAACACGATGAAATTTAACAGGGATAAATTTAAATTACACTCCTTAGGTTCGCAAAATCAGTTGTTTCTGTAAAGGATGAAAAACCTGACTTAACAGCAGCTCATGTCAACAGAACCTAATAGAGTCAGTTGGCTACGAATTCCACACAAGCTGACGTGGTGATGTGGCTGCCCCTTTGTAAGGAACATGGCTGTGCTGTAGCCAAGCAAGGATAGGCCGAGGTAAACATCCTGCGTGACTCAGCCAATTTGTAGTGCAGGAGCAGAGCTCCACTTGTTGTATAATCACAGCCATGTAGCCATAATATGGGAAGGCTCATCACTTGGCTTGGAGCCACTATCGTCTGTAAAAGGTGTAATTGCCCTGCTGACACTGTACAGGCATGCTCGTGCACAGAGAAAGACAGAGAAAGCCAGAGCTGTCCGTTTTGTAAATAGACAAGGGGGAGCCAGGACACAGCTTGGCTCGCTTGTGCCCATAGGGCAAGAGTTAAGCTGTTTACCATGAAGGGACTGCTGGTTGTGTAGCTGTATGTGGGAGCCGCTGGAGCAAGCAGCCGAGACAGAGACAGACAGTGTAAGAGAGCTGCTGAATAAAGTTACATTTCACCTACTTATGGCTCGCTAAGTGTTCCTCCTATCCATCTGCCATTCATCCACCAACTCCCTTCAGACCTCAGCATTAGCTGGAACCTGACCTTAAACTTAACAACCTTCTTCCACTTCTAATGCCCCCTTGATGTACGAGATATTGGAGAGGAACCTATGAAACTTCCTCTGATAAGGATAGAGAAGAACCTGTAAGAAAAGTGCAGCAGCCAAGGAGAGAGGCCAGCTCAGAGAGATGTCTGTAGGGAAGTCAGGGCTGGCTTATAGGCTTGAGTGTTGGGGAGCTGCATGCCGTGTGATTGGAGGGTGTCTAACAAAATACCTGAAAAAAAAACAAACAGAGGCAAGGGGCATAATTCTTAGCTAACCAGGGGGCCTCAGAGAGAGGGATTTGTTAGGGCTAGGAGAAGAAGGAAGGATGCACCAAGGAAATGATAAAGGATGAAGCATTGCAGAAAAACCCGTTGCTATATTAATTCATGTCAGTCATGTGTTTGAGCTCTGATTTTGTGTATAGCCCTGTGCTGTGGGAAATGCTATGAAACAACAGCCACAGAATCAACAGCGCTGACTGGTATGGCTCAGATGACCAGTGCTATTCAGAGGATGGTGAGGGGTCACCAGGGAAGAAGCCATGGAGGAGCTGAAGCTTGAGCAGGCCCTTGATGGAAGGGGCTGGGGAAGATGTCACTGCAGGGCATGAACTGGGCAAGGTGAAGAAATCAGCTGACTGGAGTCTTCAGAAATGGGGTGGAATAGGTAAGGGAAAGCCCAGATCTGGGCGTGGTTTGTGGGCCAGGGAGGAGCTGAGATGGGTAGAAGGTGTGGAGGTGAGCTCTTCCCTGGGGAATACAGAGTTCATGGCAGGGTCTCCTGGCTCCTGGCTGGTGAAGCTGAATTGAATAACCCTGAACCTATAACTTTCCTTTTGATTGTTTTCTCTCATCATAGTGTGTGCCCTGTGTTGTTGACGACCCTTGTGTTGTGCTGATAATTCATCACAGAGGTGAGTGCCCAGAGAACAGTGAGGAGGGAAGCCCAGAGGCAAGGTTTTGCGGGGAGAAACCCCAGTGCTTTCTTATGAGAAACCAAATGAATGAGATAGGGATGAGCAGGTGATATCTAAATTGTATACAGTCCCCTTCTTCCTTCTTTTCTTCCTTTCTTTCTTCCCCGGTATGGTTTGAATGCATCCCCCCAGAGTCATATGTTAGGTACTCCCCAAGGCAAGTGTTGTGAGGTGGGACCTATTGGGAAGTGTTTAGGTCATGAGGGCTCTACCCTCATGAATGGATTAATGCTGCCATATAAAGGGTTTCTGGGAGTGGGCTCTCTCTCTTGTCCTGCCTTCCATCATGTGAGGACACAACGTGCAAGGCACCATCGTGGAAGAACAGAGTATCTTCATCAGACATCAAACCTGCTGATGCCTTGACCTCAGACTTCCCAGCCTTCAGAACTGTGAGCCAATAGATTTCTGTTTACAAATTACTTAGCCTGTGGTATTCTGTTATAGCAGCACAAAAAGAAGCCCCCCACCCCTGACATTCCTCACTCCCTCCAACCTTTATTGAGCAATTGCTGCCTAACTGTATTGTGCTAAGGGATGGAGATACAAAGATGACTAGAACACAGTTCCTGCTCCCTAAGAGTTCTCAGTCGAGACACACAAGTAAGTAACACAGCTCTTTGATCTTAAAATGTACTGTCAATATGATAACAGATTTTCAGAAGAAAAAAAGTCAGAAACACTACCACAGTCAGTGTCCACATTAGCAAAATATTCTGGTTTCAGAAACACTCAAGTGTGAAAAAACAGGTTTTAAAATTGAGCAGTGTGAACAGACTAATCATTTTCACAATAGGAGTGGGCCCATTGACCTATCAGGACATGAAAATGTGGGGAAAAATGTGTCTTGGAATTGATAGTTACAGCGGTGTGATCATTGTCACAATGGGTGGGAACAAAACACCACTGGAACCCACTGGAGGAAGCCCTTAATGCCGTGTGGGAACACCAGACAAGGCTCCTGGCAGGAGATAGTGTTGGAAGGCTGCCTTCTAGGCTAACAGTGATGGTCAAGGGGAGGGTAAAGAGTCCAGAGGAGGTAGGGTTCCAGGCAGAGGGAGCAGCTTTTGCAGAGGAAGGAGACAGAGGCGGGTGTGATTGAGAGCAGCTCTTTGTTGTCTTTGTTTGTGATTGTTATCAGCAGTGGAGCAGAGGGGGGCTTCAGTCTGAAGGGGCCTGGACCAGTCTCATCACAAAGACAACAGGGAAGGAGACATGAACACTGCAGGGCAACTGAATGAAACATCTTTGCTGAACTTTCCCATCTCTTGAAAAGTTTTTATGTATTCTTATGTTTACATAAGTCATAAACCAATTGCCTAATGCAAAAATGGTGTGTTCTTGAATAGTAAGAATAGGCAACAGATTTTAATCAATAGACTCAGAATTTTTCATTAAATCTGCTTGCTTATTTCCTTAAACCTTTTCTCCAGGGCAAATGCGCCCTTTAGAAGTAATTGATTGTGTTGCTCCCATTAGTATCCACACTCCTTAGGCTCTTTCTCTCTCTCTCTTTTCCTCTCTCTGCCTCTCTCTCTCATCTTCCCAGTTGTTGTCAAGCAGCTGCCCTCAGCTGAAACATCAGGCAGGCATCAAGGAGTATGTTTTTTGTTCAGATGTGTGCACATGTAAAGCTGTTTCTGAATTGCATCTTTGCAAAATAACCTTTGGGAATCGACATGATGAGGATGCCATTAGCAGGAATTTCATCTGCGTGGATCCCAGGAAGGGGAGAAAGCTACCATAGTGTGGAAAGAAAGCCTAATAAATAAACAGTCTGGAATGTCCTTCCCAGGAAGGCCTGTTGAAAGAGATGAACAGTACTGGATTAGTTAATTTTCCTGGGTGGTGCCACTTTGTGTTTCTGGGGCAATACATGGTCTCTTGGGGCCAAGAAGCACCCCTCTGGTTCTGGTCTTTTCTGCATTTATTCAATAACTATCTCAACTCACCATGTGTCCAGGGGAGAGAATCTCCTGGCTGCTCCCTCTACAGACCCTCTCTGAGTCCCAGGAGGGCCCCAAGTCATCAGAGCACAGAGAATCAGGGTGGGTCCAGGTTCTGATGGAAACTGCACGGGGTGGGAATCACGTCAGCCTCCTCCTGCTGCTACTGCCACTGAAGCCCCTTCACAGCATGTTTCCTCTTCTGTGGAATCAGCTTGTTTACTATGGTTGACCCTTGAATGACATGGGTTTGAACTGCACAGGTCCACTTTTACACAGATTTTGTTCAACAAACATATTGGGATTTTTTTAGGGGAGGGAAATGTACCACAATTTGAAACAACTCACAGATGAGCCATGTGGCCTAGAAATGTCAAAAAAATTAAGAAAAGCTATGTCATGAATGCATAAAATATGTGTAGATACTAGTCTCTTTTATCATTTACTTCCATAAAATACCCCTGAGACAGCAAGACCTCCTTTTCCTCCTCCTCTTCAGGCTACTCAACATGAAGACTTGAGGATGGAGACCTTTATGTTGATCCACTTCCACTTAATGAATAGTAAATGTGTTTTCTTCTCCTCATGATTTTCTTAACATTTTCTTTTTCTAGCTTACTTTATTGTAAGAATACAGTATATGATACATATGCCATACAAAATATGTGTTGTTTATGTTATCAGTAAGGCTTCCAACCAATTGTAGGCTATCAGTTAAGTTTTAAGGGAGTTAAGTTTTGAGGGAGTCAAAAGTTATATGTGGATTTTCAACTGCGTGGAGGCAAGGGGTTGGCACTCCTGGCCCTTGTGTTGGTCAAGGGTCAACTGCAGTTGATCTCTAAGACTCTGTTTCAGTTCTATGGCAGTGAAGATACCCATTGCTGAATGTTTAGGCCATGTGCCAGGCACTTTGCTAAGAGCTTTACATATATGATCTCATTTAATCTTCATGGCAACTGTGTGAGGTTCATGCTTTTATTATCCCATTTTACAGATGAGGAACTGAGGCTTAGAGATGTTATGAACTTTGCCCTGGGAAATACAACTGGGAAGTGGCAGAACTGGAATGAGTTCGTGTGTCTGATTCTGTTGCCCACACCACCTTTAATGCATTATCTTAATGTGCTTGGCCTGCTATAATAAAACACCACAGGCTGGGTTACTTACACAACAGACATTTCTCACCGTTCTAGAGGTTGGGAGGTCCAAGATCAAGGTCCCAGCAGAATCTGATGAGGCCTCTCCTCCTGGTTTGTAGATGGGTGCCTTCTTGCTCTATCTTTCCATAATGGGGAGTGAAGGTAGGGGAATCAGTGGGAGAGAGAGAGAGTCTTTTACTCTTCTCATAAGGATACTAATCTCATGATGGGAGCTCCACCCTCAGGACTTCATCTGAACCTTTTGTTTTCTAGAGGCTGCACCTCTTAATGCCAACACAAAAGGGGGTTAGGACTTCAACATAGGAATTGTGGGAGGACACAAACATTTAATTCATCATATGCATTATGCAATATTGCTTCCTTCCACGATACAGAAAAAGTATGGGTGGGGAACACTGGGTCACCGTTAGAAGCATGGTAGGAGGCATACCCCTCCCTCCCTTGAGAGGCAGTAGTCAAGGGCAGGCTGCTGTGTCTGTGAGCAGGACACAGGGAGCTGTGAAGAGGGCTTCTGTGCACTGCTTATGAAGCCAGATACACCTTGGGGACAAGTTACTCCCCAGGTGTATCTAGGATTGTTTGTGAAGATCCATCTGTTCATTTCACAGATATGTTTTGAACACCTACATTGTATTAGGGTCTGCGAATTCAATGGTGAAACAAAAAGATCGCATTGCATCCTTAGCAGGGCTTGATGGAGGGCTGTGAGAGTATTACTGGGGGGCCAGCCTGGGGCTGGCAGAGAATGTGGTTGTTAAAGTTTTGTTTAAGGAAGTGATTTCTGAACTGACCTCTATAGGATCTGAATGCTTTAACCAGACACAGGAGGGAAAGGCAGGAGGAGGGCCAGTGTGGCTGGAGCTGGAGGAGGGTATGGAGGGCCCGGTTCTCTAGGGTTTTGTCGGTAACTTAAGTAGTTTGCTATTGCACTTAGAACAAAGGTTTTCATCAGGATTTTAATCAGGAAAGCAATGTGAACAGATCTGCACTAAAACGAAGTCCCTCTGGCTGCTGTGTGGAAGAGGCTGCAGTGGGAGTTGGTGGGCTGATGCCTTAGACCAAACAAGAGCTGGCAGTAGCTGGGCTAGAGTTGGCAGAGTAGATTGCCACCCTACTGCTAAGGGGTCTGTGGAATAGGAGCCAGAGGCTCCATGAACTTGGGTAGAGAAAAATTATAGCTTTTTTTTTTTTTTTTTTTTTTTTACTATCTTCTGTGTGAAATGTAGCATTTCCTTCAATTACAAATGTGGCAACAAACCAGTCATATTAGCTCTAACTGTGATTTTGTCATTAATAGAATTGCAAATGTTTTCGTATCACATTACAGTTGTTGTAGATATCTGGAAATGTCATTAACACCCACGACTATTTTGAAATCACAGTAGCTCTCAGACTGGCTGCTAGACAGCATGTGAGCTCAGAATTCCCCACAGACTCTCCTGCTCTACATCTGGCCACTTGTGGCAACTTGGTACCTCAACAGGGCAGTCATCAAGCAGCAGATCTGAGTGTTTTCCTGTAGGTGACCCAGACTTTCCAGCATCCCTGAACTGAATTGTTTGTGGATGAATTTGCAGAAGGAGTTGAATCGTTTTAATGGTTTGTGAAGTTTTGCAATCTGAACTGTTCTAACTTGAATTTTTAACTCTCCGCAGGCAGTGCCACCTTGGGTGGCACAGCTGAGTTGGGATATGTCTGATTGCTGAGTGAACTGTCGGAGTGTGATATTTAAAGCAACTTCTTGTGATTGCTGACAGACTGAACGGTGATGCAGGTCGTGCACGGTGCGATAAGCTCTGGGAGAAGCAGAAGTCCTCTCTATTTTTTTTTCTGGATTTATTCTGTATTTGTGCAATGTCTGTGATATGAAGTGCAGTCTTACGTGCACACTATGTTACTCACATGTTGTTCTTGCACTATTATTTTCTGAAAATACCACATATCTTAAAAAAAATACCTTTGTGAGAAACACTGACAATATCAGAAATGAGAATCATTATTTCTAAAAAGTCATAGGAAATCAAATGCAGCACTAGCTAAATTCCAGGCGGGATAGGACCCGTGATCAACTGTGGTAATCCCACATCTGTGCAAAGGTTAAAAGATACTAACAGTACTGAAACCTTGGCTAATCATAAAACCTGTCTTATTTTACTTACTGGTCATAAAATTTAACAGATATTTGACACTTAATTAATACACAAATGATTGCCTCCTATGTAGGTCTATCAAACAAATTACTTAGGAATCATACACAAAATATGATGCTTCAAAGAATGTTAGTGGCATAAAACATTTTATTTTAGCTTTATTTATTATTTATTTTTTACAGACCCAATTTATCTTCAGGCTGGGAAAAGAAAAGGAAGGCCTGATGAAAAGTGTGTATTTGGCTTTGTTTACATTAATGAAGTGATTGGACAGAAAAAGTCACAATGACTTTTTTCTTTTGTGAAAAAAATTATTGGGAATGGAATTTTGAAGTCAGGAAGACTGAAAGAGGACCCACCGTTGTCTATCTGGAAGATGTATCCAAAACGCCCAGGAGTTTTGTGTGTATGTGTATGAAGGAAGTTCAATTAGAAAAAGCTTGCAGCTTGGGCAATACAGCAAGATCTCGATTCTAAAAATTTTTTTAAAAATTAGCTGGGTGTGATGGTGTGGCACCTGTGGTCCCAGCTACTCAGGAGGCTGAGGTAGGAGGATCCCTTGAGACTGGGAGGTCAAGGCTGCAGGGAGAAATAATAGTGTCACTGTACTCTACCTCGACTCTACCTCGGGGGGTGGGCGGTGGGGAAGAAAAGGAAAAGAAAAAGAAAAAAAAGTTCAGATACTTCAAAATGAATTTGGCATAAAAACCTTTTCTTGAAGCGTTCTTGAAATTTCTTACCAGATGCCAAACAGAAAAAGCCTCACATTACTGGAGAAACTTTATCTAAAGTCACATACAGTGGGAATATGGAGTAGATTTGTGAATAGAAACAGAGGTAAAAACTGGAGGTGATTATTTAGTCAGATGAGGTGCTTCTGTGAAGAATAATAGGCATGTCTTGAAGCAAGTTATGGAGGAAGTGGCCGCCTCGCCATTACTCCCACAAGTCACTCTGTGAAACTACAGGTATCCTTCCAGGTAGCCACCTGCCTGTTTTGTGCATGATGTGGCTGCTGACTTCAACAAAGAAAGATTTTGTTTTGTGAGTGCCTTCGGAAACTACAAAGGCTGCTGATGTTTTGCAGATGGTATAAAGGTTTTTGTTCTGTTTTGCTTGTGTCAAACAAAAGTGACTCGACAGAAAAGGTTCGTTTCCTAGCACAGACAGTGCTGTTGCAATGCGTGGCTGTGTGTCTGACTTCGCCACTTGAGTAAAATGGAGTACCTGCGTTGTTCTCGCTCACCGCATTTCACACAAACATATTCTGGCTCTTCAGTAAGTCCCAAGAGAAGTTTTGTCAACAGCCATAAAAGTCATCAACTTTTATCTAGTCTCTGAATCACAGCATTTTTGCAGGTTTTGTCAAGAAATGATGGCAAAAAATGAAGTGCTTCTCTACCACAGAGAAGCTTACTGTCTTTCAAGGGGAAAGATTCACTGTTTTCTAAAAGAAAAAGAAAATCCACTCCAGGAACATGTAGCAAAAAAAAAGTTTTCTGTGGGTTGGCTGACCCAGCAGATATTTTTAACCATCTGAATGAGATGAATCTTCCAGTTTGAGGCCCTGACACCACCATTATGAAGGATCCTGAAATCTTTACCAGTTTTTTTGGCTCAGTTGCCAATATGAAAGGAGAGTTGAGGCTGACATCTTTGCCAACTTTTGCGACGCTGGAGGAAGTGCTTTACCTCAATGAAGTTGACATACAAAATACTGTCAGTTTATATGAAAAGAGAAATCTACAAACACCTGGAAACACTGTAGAACTCCTTTAAAAATTATTTCTATCTCGATGGTGTCAAAGTTGGACCATAGAATCACATTCTTTTTCTTGTTGATCTAAACTGTCCCAAAGGTGTTCGCCTAGCCAAAGATGGCAAACGTCCATCTTGGGACGGAAAACAGCTACAAGTAGAGTTTAGCTAAAAAGTCTTGGAGAGGTTTGGTGCTCCTTGACAGAAACCTCTGTCTACTTTGCAAAGGAGCCATAAAAGCTTTAATTCCATTTTCAACAATATATATTTGAGGATTGGATTTTTAATTGTTACTATAAAAAATCAAAATCAATTGGCTGTCCAGCATGACAAGTGTATTATCTCATCAAAGACGTCCCGCTGTCTCATGTTGTTATTCAAGCTAGGCAAAAACAGCCTTTACATGGATATGTCTTTTAAAAAATAAAATTTTACTTTAATTTGTCTGTATTTCAAATGCAATGTCTGATTTTTTAAAAATGTGGTTCAAAGAAGCAAATCTATTACTATGTAACATATATTTTAAACATACTCTTTTGGTAGTAGTACTTCAGTATACACACTTGGTTTTCCTTGTAATCCTATGCCTTTATTTTATTCATCAAAAAACATTATTTTAAGAAAGGTCTGTAGGCTTCCTCAGATTCCCCAAGGAATCCACTATGTAAAGACAGTAAAGAACTGATGGTTCCGCACAGTTGCTCAGGCCTGTAATCCCAGCACTTTGGGAGGCCGAGGTGGGTGGATCACTTGAGGTCAGGAGTTTCAGAGTAGCCTGGCCAACATGGCGAAACCCGGCCTCTACTAAAAATACAAAAATTAGCCAATCGTGGTGGCATGTTCCTGTAGTCCCAGCTACTTGGGAGGCTGAGGCATGAAAATTGTATGAACCCAGGAGGTGGAGGTTGCAGTGAGCTGAAATCGCGCCACTGCACTCCAGCGTGGGCAACAGAGTGAGACTCTGTCTCAAAAAAAAAAAAAAAAAAAAAAAAAATCTCCTGATATAAGAGGACATGATCACCTGCCACGCTCTCAAGTTGCTTAACGTGCAAAAAGGCAGGTGTGTTGTATATGATATGGTGCTTGAAGAAAGAGCAGCTTCCTTGACAAAAGGCCAGGCCAGCCATTTGGCTCCTGTGCTGCCAGGAAAATCCACTGGAGGTGGCAGTCTTTAATGTTCAACCTCATCATTTCCAAGACAATGGAAGAAGGGGCAGATACCAATCCAACATAGGAAGGCACCTCTTCTCTTTTCTTCCTATAGTAGCTGATTCCAGAAAACTGGCCGCTTTCAATCAAGCCCCCGTTGCTGAAGTGAAATCTATTACTGATTTCTTCCTGTATTCAGGGAGTGATGTAGGGCTACAGAGAAGGGAAACATAAGGTCTCTTCCCTTGAGGAGTAAACAATTTAGTGTTGGAGACAAAATTAATACATAAAACAATTAAGGGGAATTAAATGCAAGGCTAGAGGGTGTTTTAAGAAAATTCTGCCTGTTGACTTTTTCAACACAGTATCCTCAGGGTCTAGAATACTGCTTGGCATACAGTATGTGCCAGAAAAAAAAAAAATCTTTGTTGAATAAATAAATTGATGATGGAAATGTTAAAATAACATCTATTGTTATGAGAATAAGACAGTTGTCCCTCAGTAACCATGGGGAATTGATTCCAGGACCTCCCTTGGGTACCAAAGTCCAAGGATGCTCAAGTACCTAATATAAAATGGCATAGAATTTATTTGCATATAACCTAAGCACATTTTCCCATATACTTTATTTATTTATTTGAGATGGAATCTCGCTTTACTGCACAGGCTGGATTGCAGTGGCATGATCTTGGCTCACTGCAACCTCTGCCTCCTGGATTCAAGCGATTCTCCTGCCTCAGCCTCCCATGTACCTGGGATTACAGGCGTGAGCCACTACATCCAGCTAATTTTGTATTTTTAGGAAAGACAGGGTTTCACCATGTTGGCCAGACTGGTCTTGAACTCCTGACCTCAAGTGATCCTCCTGCCTTGGCCTCCCAAAGTGCTGGGATTACAGGCGTGAGTCATTGCCCCTGGCCTTCCCATATACTTTAAATCATCTCTGAATGCTTACAATACCTAATACTCTGTAAATCTTACGTAAATGATTACAATTTATATATATATATTTATTTTTTCCAAATATTTAGATCCTCAGTTGAATTCACAGATGCAGAACCTGCAGATATGAAGGGTCAGCTATACATGTTATTAGAGAAAATGTAAAAATACAAAAGACTATAAAGAAGAAGTAAAAAAGAAAGGCTAACCAGCCAACATTTTTGCTATATTTCTTCTTTGTTCTTTTTTCTATATACATGCATAACACACATACACACACACACACACACACACACACACACACACACTTTCTTTAAAGAACAGAATTGAGACTTGAGTTTTATAGCCCGATTTTTTCTCTTAAAATTATATTGTGAACATTTTGTTGTGCCATTAAATATTCTTCAGAACATTATTTTTAATGGCTGTATCATATAGTATTCTATAAATAAATCATGGTGTATGTAGCCTGATTTATTAACCACTTCCCTATTGTTGAACATTGCTGTTGGGAACATTGTATAATACCAAGAGCAGCTTTTATTTGTTGCTTTGCTCTGTTCCAAGTATTTTGCTGGGCTTTTTCCCTTGATGCATAATCTCATTTAATTTTATTGTCATAGCAATCTAATGAGGTAGACTTCATTAGACCCATTTCACAGAGGGAAACATGAAGGTCTGAGGAGTAATGTGTCAAAGGCTGCAGTTCCAGAAAGAGGCAAATCTGGGATTCAAGTCCTGGTCCCATTTGATGTTAATGTCCAGGCATTCAAACGTGACCCTGGCGTGCCTCACCAGCGTGTATGAGGAAGGTTCATGCTTTATCAGGCCATGAAAGAGACTGAGAAACACATATCAGAAAGGCAGGAGGAGACACTGAAGAGAGGAGTATGGAGGCAACAAAGGAGCGATCTTAAGAAGGAGGAAGTGCTTTTCTGTATTCAAAGTTGTGAAGATAGAAGGACAAGACCAATGCAAAAACCGATGAATCTTTTTCAAGACAGGCATTTCAGAAAGATGATGGGGGTGAAATGCGTGTTCCCAGCTCAGTGCTCCTGACTTGGTGGTGGTGGAGTGACAAAACCATTTATTTCTTCCCAACACTGGGAGTCATGGAACAGCCTTCATAAGGTGGCATCCAAGGAGCAGAATGTCCCTCCTGTTCCTGAGCATTTCTGCATCCCTGCATCAGTGAGCAGTATCAGTAGTAGGAGCTCAGTGGCTTGTAATGGAAGGCAGGGACATCACCCTACTGGGACAGCAGAACTGCAGGGCGACCACAGGGGCTGGCCAGGGACCAGGCTTAGGTGACCAGCTTTCTGGCTGTGCCTGGGACTGAGGGGTTTCCCTGGAAGTTTTAAAACTTCCAGTGTTAAAAACAGGAAAGTCCCAGGAAAACTGGGATGGTTGGTCACCCTAGGCCGAGGCCCAACTCAAGAGTCTGGGCTCATCCAGGGGCAGGTCCACGCAGGCTTCTTGAAAGAGTAGGGAGGAAATCCGGCGCTGTTTGCGCATGCTCACCTCCCACTTTTGGCCCTTGCAGGCTACCTTTCCCTTGGCGCCCTCACTGAAACTTCCTCCACAAGGGTCACCGATGAACCCTTCATACTTCCAGATTCCACAGCCTCTTTTGCTAAAAGTCACTGTCATCCCTCACCCGGCCTACTGCAGTAGTCTCCTAATGGTCCCCTGCTTCCATCCTTTGCCATACAATCTATTCCCAACCCAACAGCCGAAGTAACCTTTTCCTGAAAAATTGAATTTTTAAAATTCAGAAATAATGTATACATAGTAAAACTCAAGTGTATTAATACGCAATTCTGCATGCTTTGGCAAACACATGCAGTGGTTTAACCTCCACTGTAGTCAAGATATAAAAATTTTTTTTTTTTTTCACTCCAAATAATTCCTCTGTACCAACCTATTTCCTTACCCCCAGTCCCTGGTAACCACTGATTTCTGTTTCTAAACTTTTTGCCTTTTCAGAATGGCGTGGAAATGAATCATATTGTATGTAGCCTTTGAGTCTGGCTTCTTTCACTTAGCATAATGCATTTGAGATTAATTCATGTTGTGTGTGTTAGTAGCTCTTTATTTTTAATACTGAATAGGACTCCTTTATAA